CCCATTTTGTAAGATAGAGGGGCAAGTGTGGTGCTGAGCCAAGAACGAGAAATTGCTGAAAGTTTTTGGAGAAGAAAAAAAAGTTCACCCCACTTCACCCCGCCATGGATAACTGGAAAATACAACAGAGCCCATTGGCAGAGCAAACCAACTTGCTGATAATCACATTTAGGTGAAAACATACTCGAATAATTCACCAGACACAAGAGCTAGTTACGCATTTCATCATGTCGACATAAAAAGGCAAAGGATATCTACAAGTCCGCTCGTGCTGGCTCTCCCGCCCAAACCCTGCGAAGCAATTCGCGGATCGGCGTGCGTTCAATCGGGCGAGGATTCCAGTAAGCATTGGATAGCGCAATATCAGCGGCTTTATCTATGTCTTCTTCCTTCATGCCGAAATCCTTCACGCCGCGCTTGACCTTGAGCTTAGTCAAGAGAACGTTCAAACCGTGGATCGCGTCACCATTGCTATCTGGCAGAGCGTCGGCCAACTGCTTCATAGCTTCAGGTATGCTAGGTGCATTGTAGGAGATAGCATGAGGTAGGACAGCGGTATGGGTTTCGGCGTGAGGGAGATTGAAGCTGCCGCCAAGTGTGTGGCACAGCTTGTGGTGGATCGACATGCCCACGCTACCTAAACAGGTCCCACAGAGCCAGGCACCATACAAGGCTCTAGATCGTGCTGATTGAGAAGACGGGTTCTCGACAATCTCGGAAAGAGAGGATGCAAGTGCCCGTATACCCTCGAGTGCCATCATGTTGATGATCGGGTTAGTATTGCGCGCGTAAAGGGCCTCGACTATCCAGAACGCATTAGATTCGTGCATAGGAAGTTGACGCGAATTAATCAGATGTATTTACCAGCATGCGCAATGGCATTGACACCGCTAGTAGCACTCATAGCCGCCGGCAAGGTCATTGTGAGGTCCACATCGTAAATAACCGTGCCAGGCAATATCTTGGGGTCCGAGCGAGTCTTCTTCAATCCATCGGCAGTCTCGCCGAGGATTGGGGTCATTTCGCTACCAGCATATGTAGTCGGAATACAGATATGCGGCAGTCCAGTGCGAATGCTGATCGCCTTGCCGAGACCGATAGTGCTTCCGCCTCCAATAGAAACAACAGAGTCGGCTCCCTGGGCCGTGGCATACTCAAGAGCCCTGTCTGTGACATTCGTGGGAGTATGCATGGTCGCCTCGCTGAAAATACCGGCGATTTGACCCTTGAGCACATTCTTTACTCTCTCGGCTTGGCTAACCTGCTGAGGTGTCGAGAGCACCAGCGGGGCCTTCACCTGCAGGCGGGAGACCTCATCGGGGAGCTTTTGCAGCGTGCCGCTGCCGAAGACGACACGGCCAGGGTTGGGATTGTACTCGAAGGTATCCATCCTGTGTTTGAATCATCTGAGAGCGAGGCTTGTCATCTTATAGTCCATACCCCACACCCCACCGCAGTCGATGAACGTCGTGCCCATCCGTGGGGCCGTGGGGTTTTATCGGCAGTTGTAATCTGGTGGTTCTCCGGGCCATTGCAAGTTGGCGGTTTTCGTACTTAAGAATTGCCAATTCGTCGTATTATTTGGGTACGCCCAATTCCTTTTGCGTGGCCGTAGATGTTCCGACATAGTGAAAGGATCTACGGAATCTGCGGAAATACCCATCCGTCCACGGGTGGACTCGTAGACGGATATGAATTTCTCCAAACTGCCGAGTGGGGCTTTTCTATATTGGCCGGGCACTCGGAGGCTTGAATTTCAGTCCAGGGTCAGACTATAATAAATTGCATTTAATTTACGGAAATTTCTGTGGACCTAGTGAAATGCATCCGGCACATACGACCCGTAAGGTGCCATGACACCCGAGGTCAGTTACTAACCTTAGAGCCAGCCCCCATAGTAGTAAATTGGATCATATTATTTATAGATTATTCAAACGGTCGTAGCCCAATGTGCTTTGTGGTACACACACCACACACACACACACATGTTATACGTACAGATCCTCAAGCCCTTGCTCAATTGATTTAAGCGATGGGTGCGTAGAAGCTAAACTTGCCAGTCGGGTCATACTTCTTCTTCAAGGCCAGCAGGCGCTGTTCACTGTCGCCATACAGCTGCTTCGTTGTCTCGTCTCCGTAGGCATAGTTGACGTATGCGCGGATGTCATCGAAGCCACTGGCTTCAAAGAGGATATTGCGGAGCTGGTTACCCAGATCAACCGCCTTAGCGGCAACTGTTGCATCGCCGGGCGGGTAGTTGATGAGGGGGGCGGCAAGGAGGTTCTCGCTACGGAAAGCGAAAGAACTCGAGCTGCTAGGGATCGCATGCACGCCTCCGAAGGAGTAACCCTCGAACATGAGGATTGAGTTGTTGTAGGCAGAGGATCCTTTGATAGCAGGTGCGTAGATGTCCCATGCCTTCTTCTGGGCCGCAATGTTGTATGATTGGAGATAGATGGGGAAACGGGGGTTAGCGTACCCGGCATTTTGGCATGGCGGGGAGTCGAGGGCAATGCCGGTCCATGCAGCGAGGTCCTTGTAGGTGCCTGCCTGAGGCACAACGGAAAGCGGTCCGAGGTCGTGGAAAGGCTTGGTGTAAATCGAGTCGACGGCCGTTACTCCCTCCTGGATGATGTAGAAGACGATGACGGGGTTGTTAGCGTCAACATCGGGGTTGTTCATCCAGTACGACCAGTTAATGAGCTCTGCGGGCTGGGTGCCATTCTTCAGAAGATATTCGTTGGCAGCCTCGTAGACAGCCTCGACTTTATCGCCACTAAAAGAGATTGTCTCGATAGCCCAGTCACGGTGCTGGATATCATAGATCTTGCTGGTGAGAGAAGTCACAATGCCGAAGTTGTGCCCAGCACCCTTCATCGCCCACCAGAGGTCGGAGCTCTGGTCAATCGTCTGCAAGGTACCGTCGGCAAGAACAACGTTCATAGAAACGAACTGGTCAGAGACGAGTCCGTGGTGGCCCTGGAGCCATCCATGTCCACCGCCAAGAGCCGGCCCGAGAAGACTGACACATTCACAGGTTCCAGTAACTGTCTGCTTTCCTGCGGCCCAAAGCGAGTCGGTAACCACCTTAGACATGGTTCCTCCACCCATAGTGGCCGTCTTGCCATCTGCGGCAATGTTGACGCTGCTCAGCTGGCTCAGCGAGATTCCGACGCCATGGTCCATCTTACCCAGCGAAATGAGGGCTCCGTGGACACCATTGTACGTGAGGAAGGGCAGGTCCTTCTTGTTGGCGAATTTCACCTAAACCGTCGTCACAATAAGTATTTGTCCTTGCCTCATTGACATATATAGATAACAAGATGATAACCTACCGTCTCAACAACATCGTTCTCATTACCGGCCACAACGACAATGTTAACCTTAGGTTCAGCTAGAGCAGACCACCGCGTTGTGACATCCGTGAACCCAGTTGACCCCGGGGAATACACCTTGGCAGTGCTCGAAAGCTTCTTTCCAAGCGCCTCCAAGTCAGCATCGCCTCGCGGGCAAAGGCCTCCCTCGATACCGCTAGGGAGAGTCAAAGAGGCCGCGGAAAAGGCCCAAGCCGCAACGGCCGTGATCACCTCTAACTTGAAATGATACATTCCTCAAAATGAGTAACTATGTCTTGGATTTGTGAAGACAAAAAAAAAAGCAAAAAGCAAATGCCCCTTGCGTTCTCGTCAAAGGTCAGGGAAAAAAAGTGGGTATGCTATGCTGCACCTCGGTAGGAATCCCTGTTAATTGTGCGGTTCTCTCTATTTATTACATGTTATTTACGGCGGTTGTAAAACTACCCTAGAGTTAGTTTGGTTAGATGGTTTCTCGATATTATTTAGATCGAATTTAATATCGCATTACAATGATATTAATTTTTGAAAAACCTCAATAACGTATAACATAGTAGTGATTGAACAAAGAAGTCCACCCCGCCCTAGTGGTCCTTTTATGCACGGTTTCGTAGCACGGCCCAATATGTTCGACTGGTTATGAACCTCCCCACGTTCCATATTTGCACTCTCTGATCGTCCGGTTCTATGCCCTCTTTATCTTTTGCTCCCAGATTAGAAGTGTACCGGGAGACTCTCCCATGCACCACGCTAATGCAGGGGCTAGTCTTATTGGGTATGTTACATCCGCCGTTTGCCTAAATCACCACGGGCGGCCCGAATAGTAAGCGCAACCATCTGACCTGAATAATTATTAAGTTCCACTCTAGTGTTAGAATGGAACATCCTTATCTACATTTTGGTTGGACATGAATACCGGGGTGGCCCCCAACCTGCCGACCATCGCGCCTTGAGAAGGTTCCACTATTAGCTCGCTACTGGACATCCCCCAACTAGGTACGTACTCCGTATGTGTTTTATATTTCATTTCGGGATTTAATTTGAAGGATTCCACTTAATATATCATGCAATTTGAATTTTCTTTAGATTAAACTTTTTTTAAAAAAAATCTTTTTTCATCCATTAGGGGCAATGCATGGTCTATATCTGGCAAATGTCCTTCTTGCCATGTGGGAGACTAGTAAAACTGTACATCATACCTAGGTAATCGAACGGGTAGGTACGGAACCAGCTGAAGAATCGACGGGTACACGTGGAAACCCAGGGATCGATAAAAATACAGATTCATTTGGGTAATTTAGGTAATTTAGTAAAACTCTATCTTGATCAACGTTGGAACTTTCCAAGATAGGAATTTGGTTCCAAGGTTTCAAGGTTCTCATCAACGGAATGAGCCAGACCTTGTCTAAGGTTCATCTAATAGAAAATAACTGAAAAATTGGATCGAGGATAGCGCCCGCTCTCGTACCGGTATCTTCACTGCTCTTGGATTTATCTTGTTATTAGGGTTAAATCATATCCAGCGAATGAGGAACGATTCGCGCTAGTGCAGGGGAGATAATCTTCTTCTACCTTTCTCCATTTTCATGCGGAAATCTTCTCTGCGCTAATATCGATCCCCGCTATTCTTCACAAATCTCGACCGCCATGGCATTTGGCTTGGAGGTACGAGATGCGGCGTCCGAAGCACACAAGGCCACAGTTGAATTATGGACGTTATATGGAATTGCCGTTGCCGTGACAATTCTCAGAACATACGCTCGAAGCAAAACCGGAGGATGGAGGAATTTACGGCTCGATGACTATCTTATATGGGTTGCAATTGTGATTAACTCCAATTGACCATGCGTCGTTCTACTGGGTGCTGACTTGCAATCCATATAGATACTCTATACTGCACAAGCATCACTTGCACATAGTGTGGGCAATGTGTCTGGTGGCCTCGCCAACAACGGCATGACAACTGCCCAGCGCGAGGCACTATCGCCCAACAACCCAGCTTACAGAGCCAGGTATGTCTCCCCAAATTGTCAATTCAAGACCAAATTTGAATACGATCACCAACCATTTGATTAGAGTGATTGGCTCCAAGATTCAGATCGCGGGCTGGAGTACTTATGCGGCATTGATTAATTCAATCAAACTGTCCATGCTGGCATTCTACGTTCGACTGATGGTATTGATCTCCATAATTTCCGACGGTAGTTCGCAACAAATAAGTAACACCCAACAGGATGGCCTTGGCCGGCGTTATCACATTCCCATTTATGTTGGTTTTGGCCTTGTTATCGGCAGTTTTCTCGCAAGTATCATCACAATCTTTGCGGCATGTCGACCATTCCACAAAAATTGGCAGATCAATCCGGATCCCGGCAGTGAGACTCTCATCTTGTCCTAAGCGCTTAACGTCTGCTAACTATGCCCCTAGACGTGTGCCAACCAGCCATTTCCACACCGGTCATCGCAGTAACATTCGCCTCAAACCTTATTACTGATCCATACCTCATATTCATCCCGATTCCAATGCTTTGGCAATCGAGTCTAAAGCCCTTAAAGAAGCTCGCAGCCACTATCGTACTCAGTTCGGGTGTCTTTGTTCTCGTCTGCGCTACTATTAAGAGTGTTTTCCTCCTAGTGGTGAGTTTCAATATATTCGCATCTCCCCCAGCTCAAAGGTATTTGTCTAACTTGATTGACTGGTATCTATAGGATCCTGAAGATGGCGCACAACTCGCCAATGAATGGGGCACCCGCGAAACATTCGTTGCAGTCGTCACGACCAATCTTCCCATGATCTTTCACCTCTTCAGAATTTGGCTCAGCAAGATTTTCGGCAGCCAATTTCAGTCATCTCACAAGACGCATAAATCGCCCTCAGGTGGTTTCCGGAGTATTGGTGGCGGAGGTGACTATGCCAGTCGGAAAGGTCAGGGCCCTGCGAGTTCGGATCCTATGACCATTGGCATGTCATTTACCGAGAGTGAGGAACGGATGATGGAAGATGTGAAGATGCAGAACTTAAAGGCATATCCGACAGCTATTCCTGGTAACCCAGCCTCGGGTGCTATCATGGTCTCGAATCAGATTGATATCACCCATGAGACTCGAACCATACCACAGAGTGAACAGCCTGTGAAAAAAGGAACAGAGGCATGGTAAATCGGGATTTTAAAGGCGTCGGGGTTTTATAGATATCTAGCTAGGGTTAATAATGTATATTCCAATTTCAGACTTTCCAACACTAGAATATTTCTCTATTACGCACCTTAGATCCCCAAAGTCAAAACAGACACACTGAGTAGATAGTTATACAAAGCAAGCCATCTTTCCTCAGGTCATAGTAGGTGTCGAGTGCGATCTACGTTTCCACACAAGGTACTTGCAACAATTCGATTTCTGTCAAAGACGACGCTAAAGGTGATGGGATCATCCAGATGTGCACATCACTGGGGCCGGTAGATCTCTCTCGCTCCACTCGTCCCCTGTCTTCTTCTTCTTCTCTATCCGGTCCGTGCGCTCTCTATACTTTTCGGGCGAATGCATGGTCTTTTTTTTCTCTTATCATCTTTTACGTGTCTTCCCTAGAAAAGGTCCACTTTCAGTATATCTCAACCCTTCCAGGAAACCTGGAACCAGTCAGTGTTTATATAAGCGAAAACAAGGGGCCAGTGAGCTTTGACCGCCGGGTCCTACGCGGAACGGACCTCTGACCTCGGATTTCACTGAACTCGGCATATATATTATCGAGGGAAGAAGATCGCAATCATTTCAGAGAGCCCGAGATTCACCTACGCTAGTTTACACACCATCCATCACAAGTTACGATTCGCCAACACACCTAAATGGACAAAACAAAGTCGCAATCATTCCCAGCCGACAGAGGACCAATTCCCCTCGTCGCGAAGCGCACAACCTGTGAAGAGCCAAACATCGCCCCCGATTGCAAAAGAGTCAAACGGTTTCATGATGGGTTGACAGAGTCGGATGTCAAAACTCCTGGTCTACCCTGGAGGGTTCCTTTCCCAGAAAAGGTATGCTAGCTAGGGCCCTTAGATGTAAAAAAAAAAAAAAAAAAATCTTCTAACTATTCCAAAAGCCTGCAGTTTTGGAAGAACGAAATGGCGAGATCGAGTTCAGAGTTGTCAACAATGATGGCTCCCGAGAGAGTACGATTATTCTTACGGGTCTTAAATGCATATTTCAAAGGCAACTTCCAGAAATGCCTAAGGATTATATCGCACGTCTTGTCTACGACCGTACTCATTTATCGATCGCTATCGTCAAAATGCCTCTAGAGGTCATTGGTGGCATATCAATCCGAGAATTCCGAGACCGCAAGTTTGCCGAAATCGTTTTTTGTGCAGTTTCGTCTGATCAGCAGGTGAAAGGCTACGGAGCGCATCTCATGGCCCATCTCAAGGATTATGTTAGAGCTACTTCTCCTGTGATGCATTTTCTAACCTATGCCGATAATCATGCCACCGGGTATTTTCAAAAGCAAGGTTTTACTAAGGAGATCACTCTCGACAAGTCTATCTGGAAGGGATGTATTAAGGATTACGAGGGAGGGACACTTATGCAATGCTCTATGCTTGCCCGAATACGGTATCTCGAGGTTGGTCGAATGCTTCTCAAGCAGAAAGCATCCGTTCTAGCCAAAATACGCACCTTGAGCAAAAACCATATAATTCATCTACCGCCTCCGCAATGGGCTAACGCTAGCGACGGCGTCGTGGTTCCACTCGATCCACTCTCTATCCCCGCCATCCGAGCAACTGGTTGGTCTCCAGATATGGACGAGTTAGGGCGAGACTCATGCCACGGATCCCGTTTCAAAGGACCTCATTTCAACGAACTTCGACGTTTCTTGAATGAAATCCAAAACCATAACCAAGCATGGCCCTTCCTCAATCCAGTCGACAAAGATGAAATCCCTGATTATTACAAGACCATCGCATCACCAATGGACCTGTCGACTATCGAAGGAAGATTGGAGCTTTACACTTCTCCGAAAGAGCTTGTCGATGATCTCAAATTGATTTTCAGTAATTGTCGACAGTATAATGACGCTACAACTATATACGCTAAGTGTGCGGTCAAGCTGGAGAAGTACATGTGGAAACTCATCAAGGAGATTCCGGAGTGGTCTGACTTGCTTGAGGAATGATTCGTTGGTGCATTCTTTGGAGGTGTATGTGTTGCTGAATGGAACGATATTTTTGTGTGGTTGGAGTCGGTATCGGGCGATTAGGTTTCGAGCTGCGATATAGAGCAAGGTGTCAATGATACCAATATATACTGCAATTCCCACAATAGCATCGGAAAACAACCCGTAGGAACAAACTCAAGCCAAGTAAGGGGGAAACAATGGAGATAATAAATATTCTTCCTCCAATTGGCTCTTAGAAACCCTAACACCAACGCTATGTACACTTTTTTCTTATTTTCGGGCTGAACAATTGATCTGCAGATGTGGGTATCAGATAATGGGGTATTTAGACATTAGTCCAGGTCGTGGAAGGCCATGACATGCTGTCCACCACTGCGGTCCTTGCTCTTGGACTTCTTGCGCTTCTTTCGGTCCTTCGGATCCTCGCGGCGTTCCGCATCGCTATCATCCGAATCTTTATCGTCATCACTATCATCCATCATGTCTTCATCACCAGATCCATCACCGACGTTGTCCTCAGCCTCGTGCCAAACCTTGACGGTTTGACCACCACCAGAGACCATACGGCCCTCCACATCAAAGCCCAAGCCCACAACACCATCGATCTCATCGTGCACAACCTCAGAAACGACTTGGTTGGGTCCGATGCGCACGAACTTCACCTTTCCGCTTGAGAGGCCTGCAGCCACCACCTTGCCCAAGTAGTCAGGTCCAACTGCCATTGTCTCGATGGAATCCCCGCCGTCGGAATTGCGGTCGACGTAGATCCGCTCATCCTGGTCATCCCACGCGCCCTTCTCCCAGAGGGTGATGATACCGCTGGCTCCACCAACGATAAGCTTCTCGCCCCTACTGGTTCCACTGGAAGGCAGGCCACCCATAAAGGCGGAGCTAACCAATTCTTCTTCCTGGTTCTCGCTGCGCACCAGAACGCCCCTCCGGAGATCCGTCACGGCCAGGGTTGTTCCACCAGTAGTAACCCACTGCTTGCTGAAGCCCGAGGTGCTAGTTTCGGAAGCCGGGAGAGGAGTAAGAGATGAGATGTAGTCGTCGTGGGGGTGGTGCGACTGCCCAGGCCGCGCGGACACCTTGGAGTATGGGATACGGAGATCGTAGAGGTGCAGAGCGCTTGAGTCGGTACCGAGAAGAAGAGTTTGAGGAGAGAGGGCGTGGATCATGGTTGGCGCATCAACGGAGCTATATGAGATCAAAAAAAAAACGACAGGTCAGCCAAATGCGAATGTCCGGATTGCAACGCTTGATGTTCGGGAGAGGCCCTTTACCCGTTCTTCTCAAGAGGAATCACAATCTTGTTTTGCACCTGACCCGTCTCTGTGCTTGCAGCCTTCACCATACCGTCTGTACCAGCCGAGTAAAGTGTTTTTCCATCCGTACTGAACCCTAGGGTGCGGCAGCTACCCTTGTGTCGCCGAGTTCTCCACATTGTGTCAATGTGGCCCTTTCCGGCGCGGGCCGATGAATTTGGTGCGGCATCTTCATCATCCTCTCCTTCTAAGGAAGGTAGTCGGAAGGTCTGTACGTGACCCGAGGCCAAACCGACAGAGACTACGGGCTCCTCGGGGTGGATAGCCTGAGCGAACAGGTCCGAGGAAAGCGGAAGCGTGCATACCGTGTCGAACATGGTTGCGAATTGCGACAGAAATAACAGAAAATCCGAAGGCTTCTAGTGAGCCTAGTAAAAATCTGAATTCGGGTGAATTGAATCAAAAGAATCAATTGCAAAAAGCTGGAGCTTTGGAGCTGGCCTTTTTTTTTCTGCCGGGCCGAGAATATCCCGACCGCCTTATTTTACTTGTTCAGGTTCAAATCGGTAAATGACATCAATTCAATTCTGTAAATCACTCTGGTTCTAAGAAAGAAAAGACAAATAAAATCAAGAATACAAACAACTATGAACGAAAGAAGGCTTATATACCATTCACCATTTTCTTCCAAATTTCCAAATTAGGCATTTGCTGCCACTGGCGCAAGGATTTATGCACCACGAAGATCCCGCATTCCAGGTGTAGCTGAGTTCAGCAAGTACCTATCATGTTGACTCTTTAGGAAGCGTAGGTAGAGCCAATAGGTCCAACCTTGATGTTGGAGTAGGTCACCTTGGCCGAGCCCGACTCACCCTCAATGGTCGCTGGGTCGCCGGAGGTGGTGGCGCATGTACCGCGAGCAGCACCAGGATCGGAGGCAGAGGCATCAGTGGGGTAGACCTCGCCGTCCAACCAGAGCATGTTAGCATAGTGGTCATCCCACAAGCTCATGACCAAAACCATTCCCTGGTCCAAACCCTCGCCCATGCCAGCCAGACCACCTTTCTGGGCGAAGACATCCTCATCGCCGAAGGCTTTCTTCTGGGCTGTGCAGAAGTCCGAGGTGATAGAGTTTCCGGTGACACCGCTAACTTCCGAGGCAGAGTTGGCGATAACCTTTCCATCCTGCACGTAGATGCGCTTGATCTCGCTGAGGGCGCCAGTATCGGTGCCGTCACTGGTGATGAACTGAGTAACAACAGTCATCTTGGACTTGGTGTCGACGGTCTTGCCAGGGCCGAAGAAGGTCTCGTTACCCATGCGGAAGGAGTTGAAATCGCATCCATCGGGATCGCAGGTTCCTGCATAGCGAGTAGAGGAGTAGGTTCCGCCACACTTGTCGCCCTCGCACATGGTCTGTTCGGGGCTCTCGCAAGGGTGAGGCGTGTAGGCCGTGGAAATGCTATTGGCTTCCCAGATATCCATCTCAGGGCAGCAAGATCCGTGGCCGCCAACACCGGCGTTCTTGTCGTTCTCGGAAGGCACCCAGCCGTCCACGTTGGCCTGTATCGCGCATTAGTCATTTTTCTCACGAGCTTTTCGACCTTGACCAGTATAACGACTCACCTGGCCGTTGATGAACTTCAGATCACGAGGGCACTGAGAGTCACAGTAGCCAGTTCCGTACTTGGCGCCTGCCTTGTTGCCATCGTACTTAGCCATGCCACCATCGGCATCCATGGACACAAAGTACAGAGCTCCATTGAGTCCGCAGGGCAGAGCGGAGGTGTCCACATCGAATGTGAACTCCTGGTTCTTCAGCTTGAAAATCTGGTAGGTACTATCGTCCTCCATCAAGAACAGACGAGAGCCAACGTTGGCTCCAGTGACAAAGCTCAAAGTGAGGGCATTGCCATCGGTGGTCGCACCGTAGGTGGCGGCGTAGTCAGCGCCCTCCAGAGCACAGTTTGTGGCGCAAGTCTTGTCATCAGGGCAGAGAGTCGCATCCCACTAGTATCAAAAGGTCAACAAATGTGAACGCTCATCTTCACTATTTGGAATTTCTTACCTCGTTTCCAGTGTAGCAGTTGGTGTACCCATCGACAGAGTGAAGCCAGCGCCAGTTGGCATCGATGACAACAGAACCCTTCTGGTCAGTGCAACTGCCCTTGGCAGTGCACTTTTGCCAGGTCAAAGAGGGATGGGTCTCGGGCTTCGATGTGCCAACCTGCTGAGCATGGGCTGCCGCCGCCAGGGCGGAGAAAAGGACTGCGCGTCGATACATTGCGGATGAATGAGAAGGGTCGGTTTGCAATATGATCTTGTTTAATTGTTATCTGGCCTGCAGTTGATGAACAGAAATAATCTCGGGGTGGGAATAGATCTTTATATGTCTTTCCTACGCATGGGATTCTAAGTCATTGCCATGCGAACCTTGACTAGGGTGCTTTTGGATACCATGACCGGTGTAACGGACCGTTGATGCCGTTGCCAAATTGGTACGGATAGAGAGCCCACAATCATCAATCTAGTATCGACTTCCATACTGGGTGACCTCCGGCGTCGTGGGTACATTGGTTTGAGAGTGGAAACGGGGCCTGGATCAGGAAGGGAATGATCATCGCCGGATAACTGTGGTGAGGTGCACATCCCGGCTGATATTGGAGTGGATAAACATGGATTAATTGTTTCAACATCCGTGAAGACGGAGAATCCCCCGATCCAGTTCTGTCGATGTATAAGATTCAGGGAACTTAATAACTAGTGCAAGGGGCAATGACTGCAAATGAGTACGCTTTGAGGTATGTTCCCTGTCGATCTTTCATTCATACGTCAGGACCAGTGTTGTCTGGGTAGAAACTTGGCTATACGGTTAAACTACTCCCTATAGTCAACAGAATAAAAGATCATGAGACACTTTGTGGGGTTGAAGGGGGTTGAAGCCTGCCAAGAGCGCCGCTAGATGGAATGGGCGCTATAGCGCTCCCGAGGTCCTCCACTAACATCAAACCCCCGGAAGGCTTTTCTTGGTGTCAGACAATGTGGGATACTGCCAGGCGTTAAGCCCAAACATGGAAGATTGTTCTGCGGACCCTTCGGACATAAAGCGTTTCAGTCCGAAACCATGATATTGTGAAAGGGCAAAATGACTCCCTTGCAATATTAGCTGCATAGCATTAATGATTACATATTTGTTACCACCAGTCTTGATATAGCGCTTAGAACAATCCTCAGTTTCGTTGGGGACATATTAATTTGAAATCAAGGCTCTATCTATACATACTAGTCGCTATCGCAAAGGTTACCATCGAGCATAGACTAAGCCTATGCATAGATCATGATCTCTCGCATTTCCTTGGGTATCTCACTCTGAAATGAGACATAAACTAAGCACAGTAGATCAACAGCGCGATGATCTGATTTGTGGAGACATGGCACATGATATTGGACGGATTGCCAACCGGAGTAGCGGAAGTAAAGAAGGTAAGATGAAGGAAACATATTAGGTCTTGGCTATTACTGTGGGTCGTATTGCGGGGTTCACCAGTAGTATCGAGAATACTCCAAAGGGAAACATTAGGCCCTGGCAGTACCGCAGAGCCGGTGTTTCAGGATTCTGATGCCGGATGTGCCGCGGCCTGTTTCGCGAATCGAATGCTCAAAAGGCGGCGCGTAAACAATATAGCTCCAAAGTGACTTCTTGTACAAGATATTGGCGAATGGGAGGGGTGTAATTCTACCGAACGGAGAAATGAGGGTGCTCCCCTGCATCCTAGCAGTTGCATGTGGGACCTGGCGACAGCCCTAAGATCCTATGTCTTTGCCGGGTATCATGATATCTCAACCTGCCTGCTCGTTGATCCAGGATCAGATACGGGAAATTCCGAGGAGTAATATATCAAGGTTACATCTGTCCAAGTTGTTGTTGCCTGTCCTGCAGACTCCATGAAGCGCAGGTGGCCAGATTCGACACGGTAATTACCCGTCAGTAGACAAGCCCAGCGTTGACCTGTGCTCCAATGGAACCGAACAAAGTGCTCCTTCTATTAGTGGACAAATTTCCCCGGATATGGTTATGCGGCTGGCAATTTGCCAATCATTGAACATGGGAATGATCTCGGGTAGGGTAGGCTAATGCGCATAAAATTGCATGGGTCTTCAAGGGTGACTAGTATGTCGATCGTTTCCTGTTGTGATGGGTGTCTTCAGGGCTGGGTTGAACATATTCCATTCCCGTGTTACTTTGGGCTGAATATCTTCAAAACTACTTGGATAGGGGGCATTAGTGCTTATATCGATGCGGGGGAATACCCGGTGCGGTCTATGGGAAAAAGCGATGCAATATTGGGGATATTTTCGAAGCAATTTAATGAATCCTCATCATGCATAGTTTCTATCTACATGAAGCTTCTGGGTGGAGAGGTTGCATCAAGGGGTTTATTTAGGACTAGGTACAAAGAATTGTATGTAGGAAATATGGACTCATTGTTCTATGCGAGACTAACTATATCGCTATCACATCATGAATCGAGGGAAAGAGAAAAAAAGAAAAAGAGGGGAAAAAAAGAGAGAGAAAAAATGAACTCCGATGGGGGGATTCGAACCCCCGTTAGTGCTGTTCAATGTCCCAAAGAGGAACTTGAAAGAGCACAGTGATAACCCCTACACTACATCGGAATGTTATATACTTTTGAGATATCGAGATATACTTATCCTAAAGTTCTACTAATCAGTCCATTCTCGTGTTGTCGTTGACCTTCGAAGGTTCTACTAGATAATTATATATTTTGTTAGAACACCACAATCTAAAAATTAAAAAAAAAAAAAAAAGGGTGATAGGGTTATAATTAGCAAGAATTCTAATCCAACGAACTAAATGGTTGACTTTTTTTTAACTATGGTAAATATAAGCAGCCGAATGTGACGAACCAAAAGGAAGCAGCGAGGCATATATATATATATATCTAGCCAATACTGGTTCAACAAAATCCACGTGGGGGGCATAATCTTTAATTATGCCCCCTTCCCACCGTTTTTTGATACCATTTCCCGAAAACTGCTTCTCCTCCTCCTTCTTCCTCCCCCTCTCCTTCTTCCTTTGACACAGACCAGTTTTATCAGCCCACCATCGGTCATGAGTATGGGCTACTTCAGAGGAAAGCCTATAAGCAATATCGCCTCCCTGGGCGGAAAGAAGGTACCCTTGGGATTCAATGACTGAAGTCTTACCCATAGAGAGTGTACACCTGGGTCCACCTTTGGTGATGTCCTTTGGTGACAACATATAGTTTCATTGTAGAAATTATAGCGCCGAAGCACGAAGACAAGGCATCCATAATCGAAGATATTATAGTTATATACTCACTTATACCATCCACCCCTTCCCCATGTTCAATCTACCTCGTTACTTTCATTACTAAGAATGAAAATCATGCATGCTGCTGTGCGTGGCGTCTCAAAGTATCTTCTCAACAAAGCATGTGATCATCCACTATACAAGTTAGGTACTATCGTTAAGATCCCATCCCCCGTTGTTTGCTTGCAGACTGAGCGCTTGTTTTCTAGTTTTAGAGTATTGAAAAAAAGTCACCTTGCAAGAACAACAACTAATATTGATGTCAAAAATATGTTATCAAAAAATCAGAATTAAAAAAAGAATTCTCCGATGGGGGGATTCGAACCCCCGTTAGTGCTGTGAAAGAGCACAGTGATAACCCCTACACTACATCGGAATGTGATGACATACAGCCCCCTATTTTATTTATTGTTCTCATGCTATCAATATGCGGTACTCTATTGCAGGCAAGGCGAGTGTGGTTTTCAACCCTGGATGGATGCGACGAAATTCGCCCATATCATTTGTCTTGTCTATGCCTTCCTCTCCAAGATTTCCTTAAGCTGACAGAAGGACATTGAAACCCGTCAGATATGCAATATTCCCACAAAAGTACCTCCGACGGTGCCATTGTCGAGGTGCAGCGTGCGTGCTGTCAACGAGGGCGCCCAATGTCAGGGTCGATTCGAGGGTTGTGAGGGATTTCAGCGGGTCATAGGGACGTATAATGGGATGCCCAGCCTAACTTCAGCCTATCGCACCTGCAGATCGACATAAGATTGACATAAGATCGGCACAATGCAGCCTGGCATTCTCAGCTTTGCATCGACTAAACAACCAGGCGCAACATGATTCTTCTTTAGGAAAAATACCCAGCCGTAGGGGACGCCTGACTCGTATTTCGCCTATCACATCTATAGATCACCAAAAGGCAAGTAGGCTACATCCCAGCATCCCCAACTTTGCATGATTGAACGACTAGGAGCTCAAAGCCAAGGATGGCTGTGATGTGATTGTTGAGATCTGCAAACAGTCAAACTTCACAATGTCAAGTTTCTAGACTCTTGGCGAGATATTGTCTTTGAATATAAAAAGGGTCTCACGACACGTCTATAGAACCCAGACATCAGCTTGATTCGCATTCAATACACGTATCTCACGAGAAATCTTCACTCTACTATCAATCCCACTTTCTCAAGCAACCATGCATATTGGAAAGACCCTCGCACTCTTCTGCCTTAGCCCCGGGGCTCTTTCATACGTGATCACCGCCTATCGGAACGACGACTGCTCTGGCGAGTCTAAGAGGGTCAATGTGTGGGACAACACATGCAGAGATACCAACATCTTTGCGACCAAGTCCATTCGAGTCGAAACGTACGGAGGTCGTCACCAGAAAGCCACCTTTTTCACAAACAACGGATGCGGTGCTGCTGTGAGCGCAAGGTATGCTTGGTGGGCAGATGGGGGAGACGGTTCCTTTAAGAAGGGCGCGTGCCTGAAATTTGATCGTGACATTCATGCCTACGGCTCCGTTTCGTCTTAGGATCTGACGTGCGTGTAAGTTGTTATATCCTCAAGTGTTCCAGGAGAGTAAGAAAAGAGACTCATACTGCTATGATAGAACAAGGCTTGCCAGTCAATCTGTATCTTCTGTCACGATGCTTGAGGGTATCGTTATACTAGGGATAGGATGACCTTACACCTCGCTGTCTGTGTGATTACTTCATGGACGGAAGGATTTTCCTCGGTTATATAAGACACAATATCACTCTCTTTAATGTGTGGGACATCTTTGAACTGAAACTTTATAATCAGGTCCGTAGTCAAAGTGGCTTTTTAAGAAGCGTTAATATCACAATTTGTATAGTACGCCGTAAATGGTGACACCTGTTGCATGATAATTCCGCTTCCACGCCATGCTACCTGTGCACAATAGGGGGCATAGAACCTCTCACGCCACTTACCCTGCTCAAGATCAACTATCGGTGCCACCCACATATTCTAGCATGGCCCGCTTTGAAGATCTACAAAAGCGAGATCGCCCCCAGCGAACAGAACGCTAAGCCTGAGTGCATTGGGAAAGCCTGGGACGCGATCACAGCTTCCCGCCACCATTTCAAGGGCAAAGGGTTTGCTTGCAAGCGGCGGCTAGTGATCGATGCCAACGGACAGACCGAGCAACTACCAGGGAGTGCATCTCGGCGTAATGATGCCATATCAGCGTCGTGGTCACTTTGCTCAGCACAGTATACGCCTACAGACCCACTCAAGATAGGATCTACCGCGAGGATGTGACATAGGTCAAGCGAGTCATTTAGTGTTTCTCCGCGGAATATGTGGGGTACAAACGATGTTTGACGGTGGCCGGATCACAAGGCCAGGAGTCTAATATCGTCATCTTCATTTTCACAAAGCCCCGAACTAATTTCATGGCTGAAGTCGGCTTGATCTCCAGCGAACAGCAGTTGGATGTGGCCTTGACCCGAGATAAGAAGCTCCTTATAGTGGTTATGAACATGAGAATCTGGAACGCAGAATTTGTCAGGGCCGCAAAGAAAGGCTCTTCTCGCTATCCGGCAGGCTGCCTCAAGAATACTGTAGACAAACGCGATGTATTGAGATGGCTCGACCGAGAGACTGTGGAAAGAGCCTTTGACTCTATTCAGCCTCAGAGGATGCCCGCCGCTCCCGGCTCAACTACTCAAACACAAAAGAAGGAGCAGCGTACCGATACCATCATCACACAGAGCGCCAGGGCAGTAGATGATGAGGTCGCCAAGGCCAATTTGCAGATAAAGCGGATAGAGCTGAATGACAGCATCGAGGGCCGAACGAAAAGCTCTAGGTGTAGAGATGGTAGAGATGAAGTAGATGGGAGCCCGGCAGGACAGCCTCAATACTCAACAGAACGATCTGGATGTACAACAGCAGGCTCTAGTTGTGAAGTGGAAGGAGAAAGGAGATGGAAGCCCGGATGAATAGCATCGATGCTCGTCGTGATGCCCTGGAGGGTACATAAGGCGAAGGATAAGGTTACTCTGCAGGCGGTAGTAGATTGGCCCCCCCCCAAAAGCTGGGCTAACACACATGTTCAAATCGCATCAAAGTTTCCAGTTTCTGTTGCTCTCACTATATGCAGTAAAACTATATTATAACTCACTCCTAGTCGCTATAGGCAATGGGATAATTGAGATATTATGACGATATGATGAATACATGATCGACTATACCATGCCATAAGGAATGAAGGCTCCTCCCTGTAGCTAGTGGAATATTCTTCTTTAATTTACCGGTCCCTATCTGACTTATAGCTACCTCTGTTAATACTTCTGCTGCTAGCCCAAGAGATGCTAGTAAATCTTCTTAGAATTGGTTATATATGGTTATAAGAATAATTCGTAGCTTATAAGGCTTTGGGATGTCATTTTAAGCATCTTTTTAGGTCTGTTGCTTATTTATATATATGTTAAGGCGATAAAAAGTAGTATTTTCTGCAGACAATCCTTTTATATACATGCATGTATGTACTTGATTATATTTTTATACATCGCAAGAAGCGGTCTATACCGCTGCGTATGCCTACAGCACCCCGGCAATTTCCCATTCTATATGTAGAAATTGCCTCTCGACTGATGAAACCATGTTTCCGAAACAGCAGATTAAAGAAACTCGGGGAAAAAAAAAAAAAAAGAGCCACGTCACACATAAATAGTTATACATACGTGAGTACATGCAATTATACCTAACCCCATCTGTTCTTCCCAATGCGCCGATGAACCCGCCGCACATGATCTTTCATATTATCAACACGACTAAATACCCGATTACATCCATCAAACTCGCAAACAATGCTAGGATTGTGCATGCCCTCATGCCGATTCCGGTCCTTTTTGCTTGAAAAACTGCCCTGTTTGGATTTCGAACAACCATCATGCCGACACGGCCAATGCTTGCGGTGTCTGTTGAAATGTTTCCGTAGGTCACAGCCTCTCCGGAAGCGAGCCTCAGAGGTGCACCCCGGGTGAGCGCAACGCCAGAGCCCGTCACCGTCTAGGATACCATATTGCGCTAGGTGGGCTTGGTTGAAGGCGGAGACGGAGGGAGAGGAGACTTCAACATTAGAGAGGGCTGCGGGCGATGAGATACTGCTCGTGGATGTGCCAAAGGAGGATGCTGCTGGGGTGGGTGGAGCGAGGGAGCTGTCGTATGCGAAGTGCATAGGAAGTGGAGATAAGCATTGTTGCGGGTCGGCGGTTGTGTTTCCATCAAAATCAAGCTGTATTTCTTGGCCTATCATTGTCGGTACAAGGCCGAACGTGGACCCGGCGGGGTCGTAGGTTATGGATTCGTAGAGGCTGCCAGCGGATTCACTCCCCAGAAACCAGTCGTTCATGTGTTGTGTGTTGTAGTAACATGACATGTCTTGGAAATCTTGGTCCATGATGGGCTCGCAAGACGGATAGGTTTGATATAGCTGCATAGAGGTCATGCTTTTTGGAGGGATGATATCATTGGCCGAGAAATAACATTGAGGATTTTGATCACTAGGCGCTTTCGGCCCATCATAAAAGCAGCTTAGGGTATCACTGATGGATGATTTCTTTCGGTCGGATACATAACTATCGGATGTGAAGCAAGACGTCGGTGTGTCTTGGAGAACCTGTGTAAAGTACATATCGGGATCCATTGGATTTGTAAAAGTGCTTTAGAAGTGCTTGGAAGAGTTTCCGTCGAGTCGACTAAATGCAGCGACCAGAGAGTGCAGGGATTTGGTTTTTCAATCAACAGATCCCAATTTAAGAGGGCTTTTTGGCACTGCTGGTCCGATATCGAGTTTAAAATGATGGATTTGGTTGGCTTTTTCCTAGGGTTGCCGGTACACTCAAAGTTGAAGAAGAAAATCTCAGGATATTGGTGGCAGGGATGAATATGGTGACTTGCAGGCAAGTAACTTGGGTCTATATATATAAGAAAGAAAAGAAACGAGGCAGTGCTTCCCATAAAAACCCCAATGCACTGAAGATCATTGTCCTAGAAAGGAAAATGAAATAACGAAGGACATTGGCTGTTGGATTGTGAGGCTGAATACGTTACCTTGATAGGTAGATTATTTTTACAAAAGCAAGCATCATGATTATCCATGGCAACTTGTTAAAGCGGGACGGAATGAGTGTTCATGCAGGGTTAGCCTCGGGTCGGCGATAAAGTACATGCTTAATTACGTTAGCGTCGGATCGGCGATAAGTTATATGGTTACTTGGGTACTTGGGTAGGTTTCGGAGACGAGTAGGGCTGTGAAGTATCTGCATTAGCTAATAGCTCTGTAGATGAATTTCCTTAATTGTACATTGTACATTCCACTCTGATAGGCTGACGGTACGTTCCACGAGTTTAGAGGACAAGGGTGTCTACGTATCAACGATCTGCAATGAGGTTACTATGGTTCCCGTCACGTTCAGCTTGGTCATGCTAAATAAAGAAATAGATAGAATACATTTCGAGACAAGAGGGGTTGGACCTTTTGGGAGGGTTACATGTGGGGTGTATACCCTGGAATCCAAAGATATAGCCATGTATTTTCACACACAGCCATTATAACGGTCTATTTCTGAATCCCAAAGGGACGTGGCATTCCCATTGCGGCGACATATATGAAAAAGAAAGTCCCCTAGAACCCACTTTGCGTCACTCTAATTCTTCATACCTTGGAAGTTGTACCCCGGCATTTGGAACGCTTACTAAACACCATCCATGGGATGGCAGCCCTACAGAGGCAAAACTTCCCAAAAATAGAGTCCAGGTGGGTCTGGTGCCATCCAACATCATCGCTTTTCTCGATTCTGTATCGAAGCCTTTGGATGAGGGGCTCCGTACCCAGATTTCTTCAAGTTCCCAAATTCGAACCACGGCATACGTAGATCACCACTGAGAGCCGTATCGTATTATATGCAAGGGCATTGGTGGGACCATACGACAGGAAATACAGTCGGTGCATTAGGAGCACCAAATAATCGATTTCAAAGGTGAAGGTCCGTGGTTCCAAGTCATCCATGCTCTCAAAGTACGGGATTACTTGCTGGAAGAGCCGAATGATTAACTGCAGCTTGGGAGGAATATCCGGAGACCATGTAGAGCTAAAGACACGTTCTCCAACCGAAAAAAGATGGGTTCTATGACTGGACATAAGCGCACCCGTTTTGGGTTTTCAGCCGCCCACTTGGCCAGAAGGTCAAAGACCGGCGGTGAATCTTTTATTATATTCCTCATAAAGTCACAACACAACACAACCATTGATGATAAAAAAAATCAGTTGATGCTCGCTATATTGCGGATTGTGTCTGGGCCTCGGGAGGACGTATTATAGTCTCCTGTAACGATTTTCTTACCCGAGAACGGAGGTGGATCATGTCTCGGAAAGGCTTTTCCACTTTGCTTAGCATAACGGAATTCACGTGGCTCCATGCACGAAAGAGAAACGAGACTTTGGAGACATGGATACGGTCTGCAGTGACAGTCAGTCAGTCTCATCTCACGCAAAGCTGCTAGCGTTGCAGATTGATTCGTGTGCTTACAGTAGCCAACAGGAAGATCGACATTCGAAACGGAAGACAGGGAAAAAAAAGGCCTCTCCGGCTCGGGGAGGCTGGTATAGTCCCGGTACTCGTCGATCATGAACATTGGCATTCCAGCGGGGGGATTCCGCATCCCCGGGCCCGGATCACGAGGTGGCTGCGCTAGGCTAGTCGGGAACGGGGCCATAGACGCCTTTAATTTCTACAGTTCCGTCTCCCGTCGTAATCGATGACTGCGGGCCCGAATAAAGGCATGCTTGGTCTGAGCGAGAAGAAGGTCCTACGGGAACCTGGAACCTTGGGCTTTTTGGCCGTCGCAGCGTCTGTGCGGATTTTAATTCTTGACGGGATACAAATGGGATACAAATACGTGGGGGTGGGGCTATGCCAAGGGGAAAGCTTGTTTGTCCCGTCCACTTCAGGGCTGACAAAGGAGATTTGTCGTTCTTCACATGACTGGACTCGTACGTTCTGTTTTAATAGAATTTCTACATCCTTTCCTGAGATAAGTTCAATGGTAACATTTCTTATAAAATGACCAGTTATTTTCCTTCTCACGCCGATATGATTGGATGTCAGCGAATACATTCCCCATCATACAGTGTATTAGGATAAGACCCTTCCAGGAGGCTACTCCTGCAGGGGTCGACCAACCATGCCGTGTTTCCAGGTGCTTGTTTCCTTGATACTGGCCCATACCCATCGCCTTCAGGTCGACATATAGCAGCAGTTGAAAGCATCTATAGGCTTTTTACTCATATTGGATGTCATGAAGAGTAGGGTAATTCTATTAAACACTTCCCTCTTCGTTGGTAGTCGGTAGGGGAATGTGTGGGTAGTTGCCTGACCTTTTTCTCGGCCGTAATCTATCTCTAGAGCTACTATGTAAGTGAATATGAAAAGTACATACGGAGAAGATATTCTAACTGTGATATCGCTGGCGGCCTTGCATACATGGCACCCTTGATATCATCTTCAGGCCACCTACCCATACATGCATATCACCATGGGCGGTGGGATTCCGAAATAGGCGCCGAGAATTTAAGGCACTCTATATACAACATATATTAGGACCACCTCTTTCATTGTTGAACTTGAATCTATCAAACTCATCTTCTTTTTATACAAGTGGAGAACTTCCAAAAGCCTCCGTCAAGCTCTACTGGAGCACTGGCGAAAAGCAATCAAATCAATCGCACACGAAGCCCATACAGCACCTTTCCAGTGGCACAAGTGATTGATATCAATTTCATTATGTCCCAATTGATTGATCCTCAATCGATTTATCACTTTGATGCTCGACCAACCTATCAGTTTTCGTACCCGTTGAAACAAAAAGTCACTGAAGTGTTTGCATTACACTTTTCTCTTTTGGTTCTTGTTTCATCTGGGGCATTTTTACAGGTGCTATATTTTCGAACGTTAAAGTTAAAGACATTTGTCCGAGTCCTGATCAACATTGCTGCTGGAGCAATTGGTCATTTTCTACTGTTGTTGTTCAAACATCAGCCAGTATCTGATGTTAGTTGGGGCGAGGTCTCTTTTCGACTCGTGCTGCAGAAACTTTTATTTGGATACATTGTTGCGGACGTGATGTATTACAGCATACATCGTGTTCTGCATTGGAGATTGTTCTATCGACGAATTCATCGCTTTCACCATGAAACTAAGCAAGATGGACTATTAACGGCTCTGGATGTGCATCCGTTGGAATATGTTTTTGCCCAGATGTCAACTGAGTTGATGTCTGCATGGATGGTTGGAGCAACTCTTCCGGAGCTTTGCTTCCTAAGCAGTGTGGCGAAGATCTTTGCGATGTATTCGCATTCTCGAAGCGATGCAAAAGCCTGGATTAGTGTTATGGAACACGAAACGCATCATCATGACGGACGTCACAATTTTGGAGTGACTGGTTTAATGGATTGGGCTTTTGGTACAATGAAATAAAGGGATTCTCCTACTTTCTGGCTGAAAGAGGAGCAAATGTTGTCTGGGCCAATGTGGGAGGGTTGGTAGGGGGTTTTTGGTTCGGTTGCTCAATACAAACTGACTTTGTCTTCGATATTTATTGTGAAAAGCCTGATTGATTTCTCTTGAGGTCTTTCGAAATTCGAAGATAGCACAGGAGGAAAGAAGGGAAGTTGTTAAACAGGAGGAAAGGGGGCTCGGAAGCACTTGAGCATGTAGGAGAATGCAACTCTTGCTGGCAATAGGGCTATAAATGAAACAGTTTGAACTAAATGAAGAAGGTTGTGGTGGAATTGAAAAAAGTTCTATTGTTTACTTTATTTACCGGGTCTGGTGATAATAGATTGAACTGTGTATCAGATCTCACTTCACAAGTCATACAATGATAGATTCCTCACAACCTATAGAGTAAACTTCTCCTTATTCTCCTGCAGCCACTGCTCAAGCCTTTCTGGAGCCTTGTGAGTATACTTCCGCACATTGTCCACTCCAACTTCGAAATCCGGCTCGTCCCAAATGAAGCTTCTCGGCCCGGTAACAGATTCAACAAACCACCTGGCAACCGGCCCTGGAAGTCCCCTCTGCTGTATATCCTTCACTGCCTGTTCCTTTCCAACAACGGTGATCTTGATTTCCTTGCTCAGAACACGGCCAATGATACTTAAAGCATCTTTCACGGATAACCGATCTGGTCCAACCAAAGGGATGGTGCTCTCCTGTGTACCATACGCTAGAACCATCCCAATGACTTGCCCGATGTCTTTTGGCGAGATCCAGTCGAATTCGGCGTCAGGATTTGGCAGCTTGACCTCACCCTGCGCAATTTCATCCTTAAAATGTAGAACATTGCTCGCGAAATAAGCCGGTCGCACAGCACAGCACCGGTTACCAAAGACACTCTCAAGATCTATCTCCACTTTTGCATGGACATATGGAACTATGTCAGTGGGTGGTGTAGCATGTCGATTGCCCTAGACGAGGAAGCTACTCAGAAGAACGACAAATTCGATTCCACCTTCTTGAAGCGCCACAAAGGTAGGCCGCATGCCGTCTGGAATACCTTGGATTGCATAGACAAAGGCAGTCTTGGCACCACTCTGGCGAACTGCAGTCTGAACGGTTTCAGGTTTCGTGAGGTCTGCTTGGACTTTCTCGGCGGAGATGTCACCGAGTATCGGAATGGGCTTTGAAGGATCGCGGATGGCGAGAGTAACTTTTACACCCTCTTGATATGCCTTACGTGCGGCAGCTGAGCCAACACTTCCAGTTGCGCCGAAAATAATAACATTACTAGGAGAGGCCATTTAGAGTGGTAGTAAAGTATTTCAAGTTGAGTGAAGTGAAGGGGGAAACTAATATGCTCAAGTTGTCATAGAGTATTATTCAGGGGTTTAAACACACCAAATGGCTTGAAGCTAGGGTACATTTCCAATTTACGACCAACTCATTTGTATGCGACACACGGACCTTCGGGCCCCGATGCACCGACAAAGCCCGAGAGAGCGAGCTGTTGAGAGTTTGGAAGGCCTGGGGTGCTCTGTGCCATGTCACCTATTGTATGACGAGGTAGTATTTCATTGCATATGACTCCATAGCCGGGTGTTTTTGTTGTGGGCTAGTAGTTGACCTATCATTGGTCCAATGTACGAGCATAGCCACTCTGTGCAAACTATGAAACAGATCGAAGTGAAGTACATGACCAGATCGGCTTTGTGTTCGAGATTCACGATTAGTGCTGACAATAAAATGAAGGTGTTGGTAGCCAACGGCAAATGAACTCGGTGATTAAGCTGCAGGTCTCGGCGTACATCAGAGCCGAACTCGCCGTGGAGGCCAGGTTAAGAGTGCGGCCGAAATCCACTTATACGACATTCTTGGGCATTAATCACTACATATATCACCCCAAATTTTCTCGTATACCCACTTCCGCATGTCCACTTTGGCTGACATTAGGCGCCCGATTATGCCCTATGAGGCTTTGCCCTTATAGGGCGGCTCGAGAAAGCTTCCCGCGACCAAGCAACGACAATAATAGAACAAGATCAGCTTTTCTCAGTGATTGTGTGGGTCATAAATATGCATGGTCTTTATTCTCGGAATGCACCACTGCATGCTACTATAGTATAGTATCTATTAATTATATTTCTTACCAAACGAAGACGGTACTAACAAGCTTAATATAATGGGATTTTAAATCAATATTCTACCTATATTCTATACGTCTTTTGAAGCCACAAGGGAAACAATTAGCAATACTGACTTACCATGCCCTGAGTATGGAGCTTTTATCTCTGGTTTGAATACTTTACATAAGGTGCCCATGTTAGACTCTACATTTTAAGGTAAGCTAGCGTCTAGAGACACAGCTAGATATACAGAAGTTCCAATGTTTTGTAAACAAGCAGTCAGATTATTACCTATTTGGTAAATATCTCGCTAATACCTCAAACATGTATTCACCGGTTCATGGCTTAAGAGTACCTAGCATTGTAGATATCTGCCGCCGATTGAAAGATCGGCGAGCTGGCCATAAGCATGGTTGCGGCACTCAGGAAGTAGAGGATACCAAGTTGATAGGAAGAGAAATGGGTATAAATCGCTTGGCAAAATCCCAGGGTAAGGGATGAGTACCATGATGCAGTCGAGAATTTTCCTTCTTATTCATTCAGGATTGCAGACAGTATGGATTTCTTTCACCACGCCCCATAAAACTGAAGTACCAGGTGGGCTCGCCGTGTCTGATGCGGCAAGTGTTGTCATACACGTATCCTGGGGTGTCGAGAGCCCAGTACTCAGAATTCTCATCTGGAGTATTCTGCATGCAATCCAAACATAGACCGTCGAAATAGCTTTCAACCTGTCTTCGTGTATACTCCACCACACGTTTCCAGGAGCGGGAGCACGAATTACATATCTGCGCTGATTCTGGATGGCTGTTTGTGATCGTGTCATTATCGAAGTTCACCAGTCGATCAAGAATGTCTCGGACGCAATTTTTGTGGATGTCACCATCCAGTGGCCTGACCCCAATTCGATGCAGTTCCCTCATGTAGAAAAATATATTTCGTGCTACACAATCACAATGAGCATAATCGATAGCCACGTTTACATCTTCAAAAAGAGATCTTTGAAGAATGGTTCTGAGCCGCCTTCTAACTGCGTTCAGTTGTTCTGTTTTCGAGTTAGAGCCATTTAGCCTTAGAGCCGTGAGTGATTTCAACTTACGCATGACGATAGGGGGCATATGCATTGGCTCAAAAGATGCCGAGTCTGGAGGTGCCATTTCCGTGATATGACCTGGCGTGCTGTAGACGAGTCTCTTTGACACGTGTTGGAACACTTTTGCGTGGTCAAAGAAATAGCAAGGAAATAAAAGCTGGCGATTGAAAGCCCAATCCTCCCATCTTGTGGGGGGGGGTTGCTTCCTGATCAATCCAATTAAATTGTGCGAACCAGCCCATCAGCCTTTTGGGATCCAGTTGATACTTGTTGCAGGCCTTGATGGTGTACCAGACATCTGCAACAGAGACAGTCTCTGGCTTGGTATCCACCCCATGAATCTCCCCCAATATCACTTCCATGCTTTTGATCGTATCGCCTCTGAGAGTAGGATTGCGACTTCCGGATTCTTCCCACCGAGATGAGAACATTATTTCAAAGTATAGATTGCTTGCGATCAGTTTTGATCGATCAACGTGAAATAAGGCTGTCTTCTTTTTGCTTTCGTCGTTTTTGCTTGGCTCTTCAATGACGATAAGCGTCACATCACCCGGTGTTGCGAACAAGAAGCCCATGTTCGCCGTGAGAGCTGAGAGACAAATAATGAAGAGTAGAGTCGACGTGGTTGAGGGAAGAGGTTCGAATAAAGAAAAGAAAAGAGAGAGAGAGGATGAAGAAGAAGAAGAAGAAGAAGAAGAAGAAGAAGAAGAAGAAGGGAGAAGAGGTGTCGAAGAGGGAAACGTCTGAGGCAAGGAAGGAGCTGCCCACTGCTCAGAGCATCTCAACCACTTTTCCTCTCGCAATCGCTTTCCTCTTCATCCTCTCTTCTACTAGGAAAGAACTCTGAAACCGAAACTGCTTTCAAAATGTCAGTCTCTGATCCTGTGCTAGACAGTTATAACTGTCCCGCATTTCTACGATGCTGCAACGCGTACAGAGAGTATCTCGTCAAGACTGAGGCTCGGGAGCTCCAGCTCCCACTTTACACGACGGTAAGTCTATATGAGGAGAATCAACTGCGGAAAATTTTATTAACTGTGTTAACAGAACTCTGCTGGTGAAATCATTGTGTACCATGGCGAGGTCTATTGTCGTGTACCGGGGTGTAAACACAATCATGTCAGTGCATTTATACCAAGGCTTTCCGAATTGGCTATTAATTGAATGTAGGTCCCTACCTCTGCAACCAACAACCTTCGTCAACACCTCATCAGGCATGGCCTACACCTCCCGACGAGTGCCACAGGTCGATTGACGCAGGCTAGAAAGGATGCCGCCATTCAGTGGTACAAGTCCCTGTTTGAGGCCGAAGAAGATGACGACAACAAGAACAGCGATGACGACGACGATGCGGAGGATGACCATGCAGGGAACAACCGTGCAGAGGAAGACGATGAGGAATATGCAGACGACGGCGAAGACTACGACGAGGACGACGATTGAGACGATGAAGATACTGCAGCAGACTAAAGTCTCCCTCTTAGCAGATGTTGCTTCTTTCTATGTCACCATTGAAAATTGCCGCATATGCACCGAGCCCATAAGACATTTTACCATCGAATGGAGTGGATCAACCATTCAATATCACACGTAATTGATTTAGGACGTGAGGCCCTGACCTCGGCAGGACAGGTGGGGGCTTCACGGGGCTAGTAGGGTAATACAATAAATCCTAGGGGCTATGATGTATAGTGTATGTAACTCAATATTATGAAAGAAGATACAAAGCCGATATCCCAAAAAACCCCGAGAGAGTCCTTAGATCAACATAGGTAACCTAGAGCTTAATCACTATTCAATTTCAGGTTCGCTGGTAGTCTTGCCGGCAGTGATCTCGATCCTGTTGATGGTCATTGTGTTGACAGCATAAGCTGAAGATCCTAGACAAGTGTTGCACGGGTGGAAACCTACGACATAAACATGAAAAGAGTTCTTTGCGTCCTCCCCTATTTCATGTTCATCTTCTAGCAAATGCAGATTATGAATATGGCTAAATGCATGAGGAAATCATTGACAAATCCACCCATGCCTCTGTTGGTCAATTTGATTTAGTTTGTTACAAGTCAACTATTATCAATATTCTATATATGAATATTGGAATCAAACATCAAGAACGTTCACTTGTACGATAGAAGATTCACTGTCTAGACTGTATACATAGAAATCAGTGTGATAATAATGCTTTTGTTGTTTGTTCTAAGCGTTTCCCTACATCTCATAATCCGTTTAATACGATTAAAGGGATTTGTAGTATTTCTGGAAAAGCCCCTATTATCGGGAGAACCAGTTTGAACTCCATCTGACATGCTTTTAGAGCGTCTTTGTGTCAGTGTTGGTGAGTAATTTTCTTTGAGCTCATTGTTGTGTGTGCTTAGACAATGAGGCTTAACTCAACATTGTTGAATATGATCAGATCTATTGATATACCTATAGACGAGCCCTATTTTCTATTGCCATAGTAAGAATAGAGCAGAATACAAGTGGGAGATATTCAAAAAGATAGCTAAATATAAGAATCAACCAAATAAAGAAACAATCATGCTGGACATAATGCAACTCTCAAACAATCACCAGCCCGAACAATGAATGGTTATTCAAGTTTGAATATAGGAAACACCGTGAATGAAACAAAGAGTTGCCTATTCATTGTTACAGTCTTGCCTTCTTCGCGATGTATTTAAGCTCTCAAGACACCGAGAAAGACGGAGATTCCCTTGAGTCTCTTGAAATCCACTGATCTGATATTAAATCTACAAACATGTTCGACCAACTGGTGCTGGGAGCCATTTTTACCGGCCTCAGTAGCATTGGCCTCTGGCATTCGATTCCATTGACCGGAGTCAACCCTTCCAACTCGTTCTTTTGGCGGACTGTCAGCTCTTTCGAAATTGTATATTCCATTCACAACTTGCGCAAAATACACCCTTTGATTTTCCCCGATCACGACGCAATCCCAGAGCACGACCTCCTTCTGCAATTTTCACTTGATGCTCAACAGTACGAGAATGCCAGGCTGGCCCTGGAAAACTCGGCCAAGGTAGCATCACTACACATCGACAACCCAGGAGTTACAACGCCCATGTTAGACCTGAGTGCTACAGCGATGCCAGCCTCGTTCTATCTGAACAACACCTCGGCAACGCAGCTCAGCCACCAACAACTGCAGCAGCCCCACCTAGTCGAGACTAACACGCCGTATTGCACTATCATGGCTATGCTCGTTTTTGTTATTCTAACAATGCAAACAATGGGTTTTGGGATAGCGAGTAACATCAAGCACAACGTCGAGGATTTGCAATACGATTATATGAACCGAATGAGCGCCGTGCAAGAACAATTCCGTATCTTGATGTTAGAGGTCCGACAGCTTCGAAGAGAAAATGAACAAGTACGACCTGTTTTCGTTCACCTGGCAGAGTCCATCACAAACTCCTCGGCCGACCTCCAACATTGTCTGTTGCATATTGTTGGTGTGATGGAAAGCAAATACACGTCCGGCATGATTGACATTGAGTCCAAATTGGACGAGGTCAGTCAACAACACCAGAATTTGATGAAAAATACTGAAAGTTTCCCTCAGATTCCGAGACAGCTGGCTTGGCTTAATATATTGATGGCGAAGAACATGTCCAGCGATATACCCGAAGGATTGGACCCGCCCGATGTGGATTTAAGCAAGAGCCCTACCCCCGAGCAGATGAGTCGAGGTTACAATCGCAACACCGTAGGAAAATCCAACGGAATTCCCAGATTCGTGGGAAATCAGGGTGTTAAGAAGGGAAAAGGACATCAGTCCAATGATCAGGACTAGGGCATACGAAGATTCACATCTCATGTTCCTTTCTTTTTGAATATCTGAAATTTCAATTAATTAATTTCAATTAATTTCAAGGTTGGAGACAGAAAGGCTCAATCAATTGAATATTTCATTAAGATTATCTATGATCCCTTTTGTAAGAGACTGACAATCATGACGTGGTTTCTTCAACAAGATACTTGCGACAAGCAGTCTTCAGCATGTTGATGCGTCTCTGTGTGTGAATGAAGACTTCTCGGTACATATCCAGACTTTGCTGAACGACCTCCTGTCGAGTTTTGGTGCCCGAGCAGATCTCAACCATTCTCAATTCCATCTCCTTGCGAAGGAATGGCTTGCTGAGAGACACACTATTAGGGAGGCCCTCGACAACATTGTCATACCCTTCCACAAGGGCAACACCTAAGCGGGTCGGAATAAATTCCTGCACTGAGCTGCGGCCGCTGCCTCGTTGGTTTATGGCGACGTATTCACGTTCTTTGATCTTTGCAATATGCTCTGCCATTGTGGCATCTGTACCAATCCCATTGGCATCCATCAGGCCAATGAGCTCGGGCTCAGTCAGATAGTTCGGAGCTGTTGTTTTGCCTTCGAAAATATTGGCTTCTGTGGGCTCAAAGAGCTCCCCTAGTTCAAAGTTGGGAAGTTGCTGGCTGCTTTCCCACTTATCGTACACGTATACATCCAAGTAGTTTCTCTCCAACACGATAAGACCATTTGTGTGGAAGGATTCGTCGCCATATTGGATTTCAATATCTGTGCTCTGGCCTTTTGCGTCATCGGAACAGCAGGCGAGGAACCGACGGGCAACAAATTCATAGACCTTCTTTTCATTGGCATTCAATTGATTTGGTGAAACCCAGCTGACAGGATGAATAGGTGGATGGGCTTTGTCATTGTGGCGACCAGAGCGAGGAGTCCTGAACTTGCCATCAATAAGCCTAGAGAGGCATTAGTTTTGTATATAAAAGGGATGTCCAATAAGCTTACTCTCGAGCATACTGACCCCATGAGCTGTCGGGGTATTGCTTTTCGATCAGTTTCTTTAGATCGATTGCTTTGTCAAACTGATCTGTCTCGGTTCTGGGATAGCTGATGAATCCCTTGGTGTAAAGTGCTTCTGCTACCTTTGAGCTTGTTAGATATCATCCACATCCAATACAAGATTGGTTTCCTACCTTCATGATAGTCTGACTGTCTAAACGAAGAAATCGACTGCCCATCATCTGTAGGTCTACCGTAGTCAAGGGCAACGGCCGCCATTTGCTTTTAGGTTTCTGGTTCACTTTCGTGACTTTGGCTTGCTTTGCAACCAAACATCGCTCTAACATCATCGTCACGACTGCTCGGTCAAATAAATGTACTCGCTTCCAGAGAAAGTTGATCTTCTTGCCTTCACGGCTGAGTATGACCTTGATGCCCCAAAATGTTTCTGGTTTGAAATTCTGGACTCTCAAGTATCGGTCGACGACGAATCCCAAAGTAGGAAATTGACAGGATCCTAACTTGCGAGTTAGTTTATTTGTATGTATATTATATATAATGACCGATAACTTACCATAGCTGATAACCTTTTCCTTCAAAGCTGCCACCACTGTTTGTAGTTGTAGAGTCTGTAGGCGGGTGAATGCAGCGCCGATTCGAAGATCCAGCTCGATTCTGGCAGCCACAGCACTGGCCTGATATTCGTCGAGATTGACTGGTTCTAAAGCAGCCCGGCGAACATGCCTATCCTTGGATCAGTTTGAGTAGACACCAAAAAAAGAATCAACATTACTTACGCGCTTTCTGTGTTGCTGAACTTGGCTCGCTTGACCTCGATCCGAGCATTTCCTGCTTTTGCCTGATTGCGGACCTCAGAACCGATATGTTCACCTTCGCGATCACAATCCGTCCAAATAAACAGGGCTTTGGAGTACTTGGCTTGGTTTCGGATGTTCTCCGCAATTGGTAGCTTGTCCTAGTGAAGACATCAGCATGCGGTCAATACAGCTGCTGGAAATTCCCTACCTTATCAACAGTCTCTTGCACAGGAGCCTCGAATAGAGACCCTGGAGGACAGGACATCCAACCTTTGTACTGGCGGTCAAAGTCTAGGCCAGTCAGATGGCCCACTACGCTGGTCATGGTGACCGAGCAGTTACCCCAGGCACCACCAAAATTGAACTCAAATTCATAGTTTTTCACATATTGATTCCCACGAATGGCATGCTATGCTTGATGTTAGCTGGATACATCGGAATTCTTTAAAATATAACCCACTGTCTGAAAAGCACCTCCCGACAAGTGAGTGGCCACTGCGCGGGCAATGGCAGGCTTTTCGGCCACACACAGGATTTTGCGAGCCATGATGAGCTCCAATCTAGATCACATGGAGTTCATCGTGGTGGTGGCCTTGAATGTCCTGATGTCGATCACATCTTGTTCTGGATAACTCGGACGCGAAGAGATGGGATGCCTGAGACGCGATGTAGTGCCTGAGGCATTTATTCCATTTTAGGCACGCTATTCCCAATCAGGCAACTACAGGCCAACATACCCGTCCAACTCCACCGGAGCAAACGGTTTTGTTTTCCTTTTCTCCTGCGGCATTTTGGTCCTATATAGCACAGCAATGGCGTCTTTACCACTTCCCCGTTTGGAGTCCCTTTTGGATTATACCTCGTTTGAGCTCACTGTTCTCCCCTACTTGTCGCAGTTGCAATGGCTACCTGACAGCTTGCGCGCAGCCGGTACCGATGTGTATAGCTTGCGAGCTCTCTATCTAGCTACCAACCCGCTTGTCTCTGCGCTTGCTTTCGGTGGAGCTTTGGCTGGCTTGCTTTTCATCGCGGCCGAAATCAACCGGAACTATTCACAAATAGACCGGTTTTGGAGCATTCTTCCCGCGCTGTACAATGTGCATTTCGCCGTCTGGGCTCGTTTGTCCGGCATCCAGACCCAGACTTTGGATACAATTGCTGTCATCAGTGTTCTCTGGAGTGTAAGTTGGATCTTCTTCCTAGCCTCTACTTATGCTGACTCGAATTATGGAATAGGTTCGCTTGACTTTCAACTACTGGCGCAAAGGAGGATACTCGATTGGCTCAGAAGATTACCGCTGGGAGATTGTGCGCTCTAAAGTGAACAATAGCTTTCTTTTCATGATCTTCAACCTCGGATTCATTGCATTCGCTCAGTCGCTGCTGCTCCTTCTCATCACCGCTCCCACCTATATTTTTGTTGTCGCCGCATACAACCAGGGAACCGATGCCTTTGGCCTTCCTGACTTGGCCTTCTCTCGTGCTGCGTTTTTCTTCATCATTATTGAATTCTTCGCCGACGGGCAGCAGTGGAAGTTCCAGTCCGCTAAGAAGGAGTACCAAACCAATGCGCGCATTCCTGAGCCCTACAAGGACCAGTTTTCCGCTGAAGATCTTGAGCGAGGCTTTGTTGTTAGTGGCCTCTGGTCTTGGTCGCGACACCCCAACTTTGTTGCCGAGCAGGCCTTTTGGTTGACCATGTATCTGTGGTCCTGCTACCGCACCGAGACTTACTACAACTGGGCCGGTCTGGGTGCTTTGGGATATCTTGCTATTTTCCAGGGAAGCGTGCGTCTAACTGAAGCTATCACCGCTGGCAAGTACCCCGAGTACAGCGACTACCAGGCTCGTGTTGGCAGGTTCATCCCTCGCTTGTCTGTCAAGGCGAAGAATACCAAAAAGACTAGCAAGAAGAGCACTTAATGTGTTGGTTGATATATAAGAAGAGGATGATGAGGATCTCTACCATATGGGTGGACGTGTTTTACATGTGATTTTCTGCACTTTCTTAGCATTTTACCTCAAACTATCGATTTTGACACAATGCACACTATTTTTTTTTAATGTATTCAGGCACTAATCATTCATTGCAACAGACTGAAAACATGAGATACATATTGGCAGGACTTCGAAAAACATGGTCATGCACCAGAATTCTTCGTGTAACGAGCGACTTGCATGCGACGTGCTTGTTCTGCTTCGATGATTGGGAATAGTCCTCTGAAAGTGCTGATTGCTTCATTCATTCTCTCTTTATCTTTGAATTTCCCCACCAGCTCAGAGACCCAAGCCTCCCACTTCGGACCAAGATTCACCAAGATGAGCTGGCACCATAGCCATTCGTTAGCTCCGTCTCCTCTGAAATGGTTGCCGCGGCCATTGTATTTCCCTCCATTGCTACCATCTTTCTCTCCGCGGTTACATTGAATCGCTCGGCTGCACAACACCATCTTCTCTATGTATTCTTTCAATGACGCACACTCGTCATACTTGATACCTATGATATCACGTAGGCCCTTGACCGAACGCATCTTCATGGGAACGTCTCTCCCATACGTTCTCTCCAGAAATTGCCACGTCTCCCATGCATCCAATTCCTCCAGAGCACACAGTTCTTGTCGAATGGGCTGTGACACGTTGCTGAAAACCATCATCCAAAGATTCAGGTTGGACTGAATGCCTTGTGTGCTCGAGCTGATGTGCGTCGACATTTCAAGATCAACATCAGTGATCCACAATCCGCCGCACTGCTCGATGTTCTTCTTCATCCGGTGCGCTCAATCCTTGTAGTTCTCCGGGCCGAGGGACTTTTCTTTCAAACAGTCCGGACTGTAGAATCGGGATATCGTATCATGTGGAAGCTGATAGGGTTGTTCAGTGGTATGCCAGTATTGATGAGACTGCTTCAGTGTTATCATCCCGTGTGGAGTAGGATAGGTGCCTGGGGCCAGGGTCTGTCTATTTTGAGGTACAGCAGTCCTGGTTGATTCGCCGCTGCCAGTTTGAAAACAGCTGGGCTGCTTTCTCATCGCTGGATCATACCAAACACGGTCGAATGCGCGGATAGCATCGGTCGTCCATTTTGTCTCAACTTTTGGGCTGCTCTTGTCGGAACTTGTGTCATCACTGAGTAGATCCCGACCATTCTCGTCTCGAAGTGCAGGGATACGCAGCATCTTCGGCGAATCAGGATCCCAGCCTGAAGCTCTGACAGATGAACTATTGCCTGAGGACAGGAAAATGTTGAATTAATTGGCGTTCCGGGGCTAGATGTTTCCCCTTGGAGTGTAATGCTCTCGCATGAACTTAGCTGTATGTAGGGTTTGGGGGATTGAACTATATTGCTAATAGATTGAGTGCCATAAATGTGTTCTTGATTAGTCTTTAACCCTCTCATTTATATAGACGTCGTCTTCATGGCTAGACTGTTTGTCCTCTTTGCCTTGAGTCTCTTTGTGGGTTTGTATGAACAACCATAGCAGGTTTTAGACGCCATAGCGCCAACCGGGTTTTTGCCGGACAGAAAATTAAAGGTATATACTTAAAAAGAGTATCTGAAAGAGAATCATCTAAAAAACATGACAAGGCCGCATAAGCGGCCGACTTTTCTCATTGATAATAAATCAGTAATCTATACCTATAGCCCTTACGAATTTCACTCGTACTAAGACCGTATCTAGAGAAGGGGGCAGAATATGTCTGCCTTTTACTCATTAGGGCGTCTTTCTTCTATATCCTGCAACATTACCGATCTCAATCTCGGTGATGATTTTTTAGATGGGAGAAGCCGATGAATTAAAACCATTTAAGCTGGCGCGATGGCGTCTAAAACCTGCCGTAGCACTAGTATTTGTTCACAATGAAGAATTTTGGAATTAAATCAACTTCCTTGAATGGGTATTTGAGACATACCTCAAAGGGAGCTGAGGATAAAGTGCCAGATGTTGGCATGTCTCGGACGTGTCACTGCCATCAAAGGAGATTTTGATAACTTATAAGCCAATTAGTCTGATACAACGTAATTCGGTGAGTTTTACATGAGTCAGTCAACAATATTTACGTGTAAGAGAGATGATCTTCCGATCTAAGACATGTTTCAAAATAACTCCCTAATATACACTCAGTACAAATTGTACATATCCAATTAGACACGGAGATGGAAAGAGGGGGAAAAGGACGAGAGAGAGAAAAAAAAAAGGAAGCGATCTTCTTATTGAGCACGAGGGAGGAAAGGGAGAAAGGTATTGTGGATGAGAGTAGACAACAAGAGAGGGTGAGAGAGGAGAAGAAACGGGATATGCAATCGATAAATACAAAAAAGAAGAGAGGCTACAGTGATATAATGCCTCCCAAAATTGTACCAAAACCAAACCAAAGCGCAGGAATGCAAAGAAACACAATCTCCTAATCTATGAAGGAGGGATAGGTGTCTCGTCCCGGCCGTCCTTACCAGAGGTTTGTTCGGGGTCCTGGTAGTCCGGTGGGGCAATAGTTTGGCCGCCCTTGCCATCGAAGTACTTGGCGAACTCACCAGACTCGGGGTAGGGGCGCGGGCCAAGGAGACGGATGAGGTCGTCACGTCCAAGAACCTCCTTAGACAGAAGTTCCTCGGCAACAATGCCAAGCTCCTTCCGCTTCTCGGTCAGGAGGTCGCGACACTGCTTGTGGGCGTCATCGATGATACGGCGCACCTCCAAATCAATAGAGCGGGCAGTATCCTCGGAGAAGGGCTTGTGGAGTTGTTGCTGTGCGTCATCCTCGTAGTAAATGTAACCAAGCTTGGACGACATGCCGAACTTGGTCACCATGGCAGTAGCCATGCGAGTGACCTTGTTGAAGTCATCACTAGCACCGCTGGTCACGGTGTCGAAGTGCAGCTCCTCACTGACACGACCACCCAGAGTCATGGCCATGCGGTCCATCATCTGGTTGACGTTCATCAGATATGTGTCACCGCCAGCCGGGAGGTATTGGGCATATCCCAATGCACCTTGTCCGCGAGGAATGATCGAAACCTTCAGCAGCGGGTCAGCCCACTTGAAGTACCAACCGCAGATAGCGTGGCCAGCCTCGTGGTAGGCGACGGTCCGCTTCTCCTCGGGAGAGAGGACAAGGGACTTCTTCTCCAATCCACCAATGACTCGTTCAATGGCTTGCTCGAAGTGTTTCATGACGACCTTGTCTGCGTTTTCACGGGCAGCTGCAGGGAGAAATTGTTAGCTTTGATGAAATACAGCAGAGGTTATGCATAAAAACTTACCAACAAGAGCTGCCTCGTTCACACAGTTGGCGATATCAGCACCAGCGAAACCGGGAGTTAGAGCGGCGAGTCTGCCCTCCATATACTCCAGGTTCTCATCGGTCACAATCTTCTTCAAGTAAACACGGAAGATCTGCTTACGACCGTCCATGGTAGGTCGGTCAATAGAGATGTGTCGGTCGAATCGTCCAGGACGCATCAGGGCCTTATCGAGAACATCCGGTCGGTTGGTACCCGCCAGGACAACAACTTGCTCAGAGGTGTTGAAACCATCCATCTCAGTGAGAATCTGGTTGAGAGTGCTTTCACGCTCATCGTTTCCACCACCAACGTTCGACTTTGCTCGGGACTTTCCAATGGCATCGATTTCATCAATGAAGATGATGCAAGGGGTGTTCTTCCGGGCATTGGCGAAGAGATCACGGACACGAGAGGGACCGACACCGACAAACATTTCGACGAATTCGGAACCACTGACACTGTAGAAAGGCACGCCAGATTCACCAGCAGTGGCCTTAGCAAGCAATGTCTTACCAGTACCAGGGGGACCTGAAAGGATGGCACCACGGGGGATCTTTGCACCCAGCTTCTCGAACCGCTCGGGTTGCTGGAGGAAGCTAACAAATTCCATAATCTCAACCTTGGCTTCGTCCATGCCCGCAACGTCGGAGAACTTGATCTTGATATCAGTCTCGTGGTTGAAGCGCTTGGCACGGCTCTTTCCGATGCCAAAGATTCCACTCTGGCCGCCGGCGCCGCCACCGGCACGCCGGGACATCCAGAAGACACCACCAAGGAAGAGAAGAGTAGGAGCCAATGACATCAAAACGCCACCCCATGGGGTTTCATCGTGATAGGCGACAGGAATACGTTCATGCGAGGGAATACCGAGTTCATACTGAGCTGCCTCGATCTTCATTTCGAAGCTGTCGACAGAACCAATACTAAAGAAGACATAGGAGGCAGGCTGGCCATTTGAATCGGCTTGAGTCGCAGCTTCGCGGTTGAGATCAACCCGAACCTTGGTGTGGTTCAAGACGGTCAATTTCTCCACGAGACCCTTCTCAAGGTAGTTCGCCCGGAATTCTTGCCAGGTGATTTCCCTACCTCCGCCTTCACCAGGGAAAAAGCTGCGGTAGGCGTAGTATGTGACGAGAGCGGTAACGAAGAATGAAACGGGATCGAAGCGGAACTCAAGGACCTTGCCCATGTTCGGGGGCACCTTGCCCTTCTTGTCACCCTGTTGCTTTTTCTGCTGTTGCTGATCCTTCTTAGGATCTTGCTTTTCCTTGGTATCCTTTTCCTCCTTAGGATCCTTGTCTTGCTTGGGATCGTTTGGTGGTTGTGCGTTGGATTGCTGTCCTTGTGGCGGTTGCTCGGAGTCCTTATTGAAGCGAAGGCTGGATTCTTCGCTGCTTTTGGCTGCATCATTGCGTTTTTCGAATGGGGTGCGCAAGTCTGCGATACCGCGCTTTGCGAGCTGTTCCTGTCTAGCTAGACGCTCATCAGCATGGTAAGCCGAGACTTGCCACAGGAATCGCGTCATCTTAATACGATCCATTAATGACGGTTCTTGATTGGGATCGATGTGCGCCCTGACTTCCGGTGGAAGCCCATTGCTCATGAGGTAGTTTCGGACATTGGTACGTCGCTCCACGTCCATATCCACTAGCCATTCATCCACAATTTTCAATTCAGCTTCAGTGAGAACACACTTCGGCTTCTTTGTTTGGTCATTATTGTGGCCATCTGATGTGTTGTTCCGGCCGTTGTCGTTGGGGGGTGTCGGACCTTGCGTGGAGTAGGTTCTAGCGCGGCTTGATAAAACCAGAGATGAGAGTCTTGATGGTCGCAGAAGCACGGAAGCCAACCCCGTGCGACCGGTAGATTCCGCGGCTTTCCTTGAATAGCGAGCGAGATTGCCTGGCCGTCGGAGTAAGGTAGCCATAGTCGAGGAATGGGAGCCCCGAGGGCTACGAGGGCGGGGGTAAAAGGTGGTCAATCGAGTTTAGAGGTAACGGATGATATCACAATCCATCAAGATCAGGCGTGAGGGGGTAATTGAGCTAGGAGTTTGAGAAGCTCTGAGGCATCCAGGTCCGAGGTGACGCCGTGTGGTTCCAGTCGGTTCTAAATTTTCGCCGATCCGGCTGAGTCATCACCTGGGCAGCCCGGGCCCCGGCAGCCCTGGAGCGCATGCCCCGAGGTCCACGGATGGAGTTAGCTTAAAGCCGGGAGTCCCTTTTAAGGTTGTTGTTAGACAATTTAGTTTAATGATTGTCTAAGACTATTTGGATATAATTGGAGACCTGTCTGTATATATTCCTATGAATAGGGCCCACCTTTGCGCCATTCGCTCCGTAATAAAAACCCATAATTATTCTGGTCCCTCTATAGAGACAGACCTAGGGGATGGTTTCGAAATAAAAAGAGGGGCGCTTCAATATACAAGATGTGTGGAGATGGTTTGGTATGGAGAAATAACATCGGAAACAATAATCCCACCGTCATGAGTTACATAAAAGATAGATGAAAGTGATTTTGGTCCATCATACACTCATGATCACTGCCCTGGCAGCGGCCCGCCGGGGCCAACTCCTTCAAAAGGAGGGAAATTGGTGGACATATCCGCCCAGTCCCACTCGATTGTCATTGGCATCTGCCAGAGATCTTGTGGGACAAATGGCTGCTGGAATGATGCGATACCGGGGCTGGCACTGAATGGGTGTTGGTCAGAGAATGCAACACTAGCCATTTGATCAGGACTCATCATGTCCGGGAACTCGTGCCCAATGCCAGACATGGCATGGACATTGCTTGGGAGGTCGGCGGGGAGATTATTTGTTGGGGGCATTGTAGTCCCCGGGAATGGTCCTCCTGTGCCGGGCGAGTGGGCGGCGGCAGCCGTAGGGTTGGTAAACACGGAGGGGGAGAAGGGTGCAGAGGTGGGCGGTAGTTGTGTACGTTTGGCGGAGGGTGAAGTTGCCGACTGCTCGTCGGCTGCGCCTGTAGAGTCTTCTGCATTCTTGCGTTTCTTGCGCGAATGAGACTCTTTTTCGGTTTTATCCAAGACCACCTTGGCAATTCTCTCGAATTCCCCACAAAGACCTAGCATACGCTTGATGCTGCCATTGGATTCATCAGAGACCAGGGTGGACAGGAAGCTGACTACCACGCTCATTAATTTAACATCTGATCGAGCCCGCGCATCGTTGGGGTTCTGTAGGATGTTGGCGAAAAGAGTCACAAGGGCAGACACCGGATAGTAGAGAATCAGCCTGATACCAAGTTAGCCGCTGTTTGTTCCCATAATTCTCTGAAACGTACCAAACACAAGCAAAATCTCCTTGCGGAATATACTTGATCAAATTAATCGATGCTCTGGCCGCAGTGACGCACAAAACTGCCGACAAGAATACCCTAGGGTTCAAGGGCCGTGCATTCAACCCTTGTATGGCATAATTGGACAGACGGCTTGTCCAATACCCGTGATGAACCGACATCCGATGAATGGTGGTCAAGCAATTGTAGTAGGCAAAATGTAGAACGACCATGTGGATGATGAGGGGGGTGTGGGTAGCTTGGATGTCGTATTCGGGGCGGAAGTCGATAGGAATACTGTCTTTCCAGTCCTCCAGCTCCTTGTCAAGTTTACCGATTGTATTGAGCAATTCACCGTCTGATTGTTTCGATGCTTTGGCAGAATAAAGTCGCTTGTATACTCTGCTTTGAATAGTGGCAAATTCACAAAATGCCCGGAATAGGTTGAACTTGCTTTTACCATCAGATAATGGCACATTTCCAACATTGTCTGGAGGATCTTCGCTTGGCAGCTCGACATTCATATCATCGTCATCTTGTACTGGTGGTCGACCAGAGCGTAGACAAATGCTAAGGAATCAGTCAGTATTCAAAATAAAGGTATGCAGGCACCTAAAAGCAAGTCTCACTCTTTGTCAAGAAGATAGGCGATCCAGAACACTCTCTTCCGCTGCTCAACTTCAACCACGTTGAGGCCAAAGCTAGAACCGCGTTTGTGTAGACCAATGCTGTGGGAAAGTCGAATCGCCGCAGCGACTAGGAAGAAAGCAGGTTGTGGGTTAGGGGTTCCCTGAAGGAAGAGTGACTAGAAGATTACGTTAGATAAAGCCACTGAAACCCGAGTAGGACAACTTTACCATGCCCAATAGCGCCTGCACGCTCAATAAATCGGTGTTGCGCATTGTGAGCTCAGTCAGAACTCCCATGGCGTTCTTCAAATAAAGCCAAGCTTTTTTGTCTTCTTCGTGTGGTACTAAGTTACTCATGACCCGAAGCCTATGAGAAATCGCCAGGACAACATTTATACTTGCCCACCAGCCCGATCCCTCATAGGGATCGCGCGAGTATTGCCGCTCCACCAGGTGCATGAATGTCGCTTCGTGGAACAATGGGAACATGCAATTGAAGTTTTCAAAGAAGTCTTTGAAAAGAGAAAGAGCTTCCTCCTTTGGCGGCAGAGGCTTGAATACACGTCTTGCGAAGATATCGCTGAAAATCTCGGGTTTCCAGTACATCCATTTATTGTCATCGACATATGCCGACGAGATCATGTCCTGGAAGGATGTATCGCCAGTTTTCTCATTAACCCATTGGATGCCCTTTTGAGAGAATATAGAAAACCCAGATGAAGATCCTGTGAAAATGTTAACAAACTAGATCAAACCGGTTGCACAAACAAAGCCTACCGATATACCGAGTCTCCCCGCAGTTGTTTGTCACCAAAGAACACATCATATCCGACAGCGCTTCGACTTCGGTCTCTGACTTCTGCGACTCTGGTGATGTAGCGGCGGTCTGAGGACTGGAGTTGGAGTCCATACGAGGTGTGGTGTGATGGGAGCTTGGGGCCTGTTGTGCTGCAGCCGCTTGAGCCAGAAACATGTTGGAGCTTTTCGCTGCGTTCAACGCATTCGTTCGATCCGCGAGCCGCTTCTCCAATGTCCCGAGATCCGTCTTGCCACCATCGTCTTCTGACAACAGACCCGACAAACGCAACAACGACTCCATCCGGCCTAGTCGGTTTTCCAGACCTTCGATGTATTTCGCTCTATGTAAGAGACAACCCGAGGTCAGATACAGAACTTTATATGCAATGAAGTATACAAGTATACATACCCTTTAGGGGGATTCCGCTTCTTCTCCACTTGTGTGAAAATGCATTCCGTCTTGTAGTTGATGCAGTGTGAGCATTTTGGCATTTTCCCATCGCATTTAATCTTCTTCTTCCGACACATATCGCACGCCTGTTGGCTCATTAGATGTGTTCTCAATCTCTGTAACGGGCAATGATCCTTACCCTCGCGATCCTCCGTCTCTTCGCATCGTTGGTCTCGTCCCCCGCGCCTAATGACGAATCATCGTACATAGACCCCGCTTGCATCTGAGTATGATCGTAGTTGAATAGTTGTGGGGTGTGGTTCATCATAGGCGGGTCGAAGCCCATGCCGTCGTCCCCCAAGCCATCCATTTTGCGTTTGAGGGGCAACGGAAACTCCGCGGAGGAGAGGTAATGGCGGTGATAAGTAATCGATATGGCGGGGTGTTTTTCAGCACAGAGGTTTTTCTTTTTCACCCCCTGAGAAGATAGAAAGAGAAAGAAAGAGAATGCGCTATGGATTATAGAGATGAATGACGCATGGATAGAAGCTTTTTTTTTCCCAAGGGAGTTGACAATGAAACCACTGAACACAATCACCTCAAAGTTTGGGACTTTAGGTAAGAAATGACTCAACCACACGTGAGCAGATATACTGATTGATATGATTCTAACCTTAGAAAGGGGATAAAACGCTATACGGATGCCATACGAGTTGCTGACTTGAAGATTATTTGGCATGACGGAACCCCCGAAACCCGACCGCCGAGTGGACGGTCGATTTCGTCCGATCCGGAGAACAGGGGCATTGGCATCCGTTCAATCTCTTCCAATTTTCACTCCACCCTTAACGCCGATCAAACATTTTTCCTTCCGTGTAGCGTAATTATTGCGAGAAGTGTTTGTGTGGCGTTCTATATGGGGTAGGACGGATTCTACGCCCAGGCCTTATCACCTAGTCATGGGCCTATGTGTCTTGGGCCTATGTGTTTCTTACTGTCCAGGGGTTGGGTGGGTTGGTGACTAAATGTCGCCAAGATCGACAATTTGGCAGCATGATCTAATATGATGCCGGGAATTGCCGGTTGTAGAGTCTTGGGTATGTCAGATGTATAGTAATATAAAAGTACATTCAACGAAGAGCGGCGATCTCGTAGGGATATGTGAAAACAAGCATATAATACAACAAGGTTCGTAAAGAGCAGTCCTGTTCCTCCGATCTTGTAAATGCCAAACCAACGCCACGCTATGTGCCCAAAATATGATGACCGGTTGGTCAATGTCGAGACCTAAATTCGCTTTTCCATCGTTGCCCAAAGGTCATTGCCGGAGAAGAGATAAATCAAAGTCGGATCGGCAAAGTCTTAAGCATGTTTGTCGAGGAATTCCTTCGCCTCGTTAATTTTAGTCGCCAAGTATGGGCTGCCACCACGATCAGGGTGGTTGAGCAACATGAGCTGGCGGTGGTTCTTGCGGATCTTCTCCTTGGTCAAAGTTCGTTCACTGAGAAAAGAAATCATGTTAGTTCTGGTAGATCAAACGTTTGTAGCTAGCACATACGCAAGTTGTAGAATCAGGGAGGCTTCCCGACGGTTCATGCGCGGTTCAAATCCTCTGTGAAACGACATTAGCCAATATTCCATTTAACCATAAGGTGATGAAATGCCCACGAACCCCTTATAGAATGCCTTTCCGGCAGCGTTTAAGCCTCCCTTGGAGCGGCGGTAGGCGACCAGACCAGCGCGGCCCTGCAGACAATAAGTTAGTCCCATACTGCTGAACAAAGAGTGTTTTCACTCACCAAAAAGGCGGTTGTGGCGATGCCAAACCCAATAGCGAGAGCAGAGGCCATTTTGTAGATTGAGAAGGATAGAGTCGCGAATCGAGATCAAGTCAGTTGGACCGGGGAATGGGCGAAGAGGCGCCGGGATAGAAAAGTCAGCGCGGGTGTCCCCAAAAGGGTTTAGCGTAGTCTGCTCCACCATTCAGGCCCGAGCTACAGAAAAAGTTTCTTGCGACTCAACGAAGACATAACCAACACCACACCACAACCATGCGGTAAGTTTTGCCGTTAATTTTTGTCCGTACCCGTTCTACGGAAATGCTAATATTCATTTTATCTGCAGTGTTGAAACCTGTCACTTCTGTTCCCGCCCGGCCTTCCCGAGTAAGGGCATCACATTCGTCCGCAACGATGCCCGACAATTCCGCTTCTGTCGGTCCAAGTGCCACAAGAATTTCAAGATGAAGCGTCAGCCCCGCAAGCTTAAGTGGACCAAGACTCACCGTGCCGCCCGCGGAAAGGAGATGATCGTGGATTCGTCGCTTGTCCTGTCCCAGTTCGCCAAGAAGAGAAACGTCCCCGTCAAGTACGACCGCAACCTTATGGCTGCTACCATCACTGCCATGGAGAGAGTGGAGGAGATCAGAACCCGCCGCGAGCGTGTGTTCACGAAACGCCGCCTGGCCGGCAAACTCGCCCGCGAGCGCCAGCGCGAGGCAGACCGCAAGGTCGTCAACGAGGGCGAGCACCTCATTCGGAAGGAACTCCGCGAGCGCGAGGAGGGTCTCCCCATGGTTGCCGAGCAGAGCAAGGTTTCCAACAGAGTCCACGGCGAGGAGAGAATCCGCCAGAAGCAGAAGGCCAAGCTTTTGGTGGATGGTGGAGTGGAGGAGCAGATGGATATCGACTAAATTTTATCCTGGGCATCTATTTTTTCTTTTGTTTTATGCTTTCTCAGATACGACACGGTTCCTGCAACACGCAGATTTTCGGAGTTGGGCATGCTTTGGTGTTTTAAAAGCAATCAATGTTTTTCATCATATCTCATATCCAGTGGGCTGTTAGCCTCTTGCTGCTTGGGAGGCTAATAAAATGTGTTTACAATGACCCATATTACATAGGTTGCTAGTTTTCTAGTCTGTACAGTGACCAGAGTGGTCAAATGACCATAATGAGATCTTTGGAGAACGACCCCAACAAATATCCCATTTAGGCAAGCCCTTCTTGTAATTTTCTCGTCTACATCACCTCTGGGGCTACCGGCAACTTTCTCTTGGTCAACCCTACCAACCCCTCTACTATAGACCACAATCTAGTTTAGAGGCCTCAATCCTGTATAGGAGTAGTTAGATAACGATTTGGCTGTTGATCTCAATGCAACACAAATCTACGAGTATCGACCCCGTGCAAATAACCTAAAGCCAAGAGCACGTACAAATCTATCGTCACTGGAATAACCGACACTTATATATTTTACGAAAATTAAACGAAGGTCTGTACTGTTAAAAAAAAATGAAAGGGCCAGTTCCACAAACTTCATGTATGTACTACGGAGAGGTATGTATTAAGCCTATTTCTATAAAGCACTATTGTAATGATATCATCTTGCCCTTCAAACAATCTCACATTTACATATAGCATCGCTTCACACTGACCTTCGATGAACCAGCGCTGTACAAAAGATAGTGCCTTTATACCTTCAGCTCGAAAGTCGCTACCTCGACCTAGAGGAGATTCGTGAAACCCTTTCGAACTTGGACTGCGAAGTTCTCAGTTATGAGATAGTTGAACATCCAAGGATCAATTTCCATCACTTAGATATTGAAACCGGTACGACATCCGATTTAGTGACTCCTTGCTTTCTTCCACGATCATGCAAGCCAGCCCTTTCTGAGATGATGGAGGTAAAATTCGCGCTATACAAGGTCCAGCCCATCGCGACACGAGACCTGAAGTACCATGGGATCGTTGTTAACGGTGATCCTAATAAGTCAGGTGCTATGATGGCCTTAGGCCATATGTTGGTTCCTCAGATATCAACTCCTTACTAGAGTAGATAGATTATGTAGTGGGCAGATCGTGCCTCTATAACGATACAACTCTCTTCCTCCTCACTTTCTAGCCCTACGTATGGTAGACACCTAAACACGAGCGCGTGTTCATTGTGCCTGATAGGGATCAAAGAATATCAAGATAGAAAAGAGGGAGGCACTATGTCAAGACAGTGCTAGAAACTGCCTAAACCCCTAGGACTGATCGAACAGCCAAATTCTATGATATGGAAGAAGAATTGAGACCGTCAGGTATACCACGAATGAGAAGCGAGCGCGAAGGAGCGTTGGAAAGGTTGAAGATAAGTAGTCCAGAACACAGATCGAGAGATAGCTGGCAGCTAGATGATCTGCGAGCTAAGTGGGAGATACGCATGAACGATAGAAAAGAAAAGACCAAGAGGAAATTGAGCGGTGTTCTTATGCCGCGCTTGATATGATCAGTAGCAAACTAAATACGGTACAAGAATGGACGGTAAGAAGATGCTTCGGGTGTGGGACGAAAAAGCGAGAGGCTAGATGGTCAAGAGAAAAAAGTGGTAGAGTAAGAGGTAAAAAAGAACAAAGCGCCCCTCTGATAAGCGAAAACTCCCCTATTCGGTCATCCTTCCATATAGATCAAACCAGGTCCAATCGTAGACTGCGCCAAACACCACCTCCAATAGGAGGAGAAATGAAATTCAGAAGGAAAAAAAAGCGAATGCAATGGTGGAGGTTGATGACGGGTAATCATAACAGACGGAGGGGAAAGACGTAGGTGGGTATGAAGTAGACAAAAGTAGATGAGACTCATATAGACAGGGTATAGTCGCATCGAAATCATCTGCATGGAAATAAATATGCTAAACTCATGTACTGTTGGATCGTAGCAATGCCTGGGAATAATTAGCCAAGCTGTTTTGGGGGTTCGGTTCTGAACATACAGCTAACGTACCCGCTCGTCGATCATCTCTTCTTTTTCTTCCGAAGGACTGACCACACTGCCCCGGGCGATGGGACCAGAGCTTGTGATAGACCGGGATTCTACAACCGGGCGAGGGGACGGCAAGGGCTGCTGCTTTGACCGTTGTTGTGGGGGCTGCGGCTGTTGGTTCTCATTCATTGAGTAGTTGGGGTGCATTTCCCCGCTGCTCGAAATCCTAGACTCCTTGCTCTTCTCCAATAGCGACCCACCAAGGGTAGCACATTTGAGGATAGTTTGCATCATCTGGTTTTGTTTGAGTGGCTTGGACAGGTACTCGTCCATCTGGGCCTGAATACACTTCTCCCGATCACCCAACATGGCGTGAGCAGTGAGCGCGATGATTGGGGTTCGTTGAAGCCCACTCTCGCGTTCGTATTCACGGATCTTGCCGGTGGCTTCAAAGCCGCCCATGACTGGCATCTGAACATCCATCAAAATAACATCATAACGACGTTTCTTAACAGCTTCAACAGCTTCCAAGCCGTTACCAACAACAAAGACGTTGTGGTTATGCTTCTGAAGAATCTTCATCGCAAGCTGCTGGTTCACGTCGTTATCCTCTGCGAGAAGGATATCGAATGAACGTGAGTTGTCGGTGGTGATCGGCGTCGACCGGCCTTCCAAGGCTGGTAGCATACCG